GTATTAGTAGCTAAAAGAGACTGGAATGTGGGCCCCTGGACTTGCAAGACAGGCAAAGGCAGGATTTCGGGCCTAAAAGGAAAGCGAGACTTACAGGTACCTGACTGGACAGACTCAGGTTGGCGGCCGGCGTCTTCTTCTTGCTTCCAGTGCTGTTGGCGGTGTTGCCGGCGCTGCTGTTGGACGTGCTGCTGGTGGAGTTTTTCCTTTTTCTCCGTTTCGTTGTCGGCTGCCTTGTGGGTTCTGCTGCAATAAGGAAAAGGGAAGAAGGATCGGGTCCAGGACAACCACCAGATACTACCCCTCTGCAGCTGTTTTTGTAAATGAAAAAAAGTAGACTCTTTACATTGTTTCCATTTCTTTTAACTTGACAAAAAATAAAGGGAGACAGCTGTTGGCTGTTTTTTAGCACAAAATGCATGCAACTCTTTTCCTCTCTAGCTAGATAAAATGATTTGTACTTAGTTGTTATTTCTAATTTCATACATATGTCTTTAATCTATTAATATATTTTAGGGGTGAGCTATAAATACTACTTTCATAGTTGATTTAAAAGGATTATTACCATTACAAAATTTGGGAAAATTTTTTTTTTCTGGTTTACCTTTTTTGTTATAACAAAAGGAGGGTTCTGGGATCCCCAGGGGGCCTCCAAGGTGCGAGAGAAAGTAGAAACTTGGTTATATTAGTGAGCCAGTGTGTAAGAGCAGCACCTACTGGCCAACTGTTATATTGCATCTCAGCTCTATTACACCTTGAAATGCTCAACTAAAAAGAACAGGAAGTGCCAGCTCTATCAGCCATGAATGAAAAACTCAGGGCGTCCCAAGCTTAATGTGGTTCCCAACTTCCATGGTTTATACCCTAATATTTAAAGAATGCTACTAATTAAAAAATTCCTGGGGAAATAAAGGACTTAGTGTGCTACAGCCAGCATATTAATGAAGGGAAGCTAGACCTTTTCAAGAAAGGCCTGTTTAGAAACAGAAATATTTTACACCTGAAGAATGGGTAGCATCTGAATGAAAATACAGGAACTCATGGTAATATATGATAGGAGGAATATTATGTATTCATTTATTATGCATTGAGCATTACTCAGTGTTTCCATATTCTTATTTTCTATTTTTAAAGTGATCTATGTCATAACTATTTTATATTCATAGCACCTCTTATTAACTCGTTAATAGTATCATCTTTGTCTTGTAAATGATTAGTCTTCGAAAGCCTTTTCTAGGCAGTTACTAAATAAGTTGGAAACGGCAGGTAAGAGCATACTTTTTGCTAACCCTGCTGGAGACTCAGCTCTGATGGAGGGAAGATAAGCCAGGGCCATTCTGAAACTACGTGCCTTGTAGCTTCTGATGGGGAGAAGCTCCTTTAAGGCTCATTTCAAAGATCACTTAGTCTACTAAGTAGACTAAGGGGTAAAATGACTTTTGATGAAGATGAAGAGAATTATGTTCCTAATTATATACCATTTCTTCTTTCAGAAATATTTTCTCTCTTATGCTCAAGTATTTTCATCAAAGGGCCCAATATCCCTGTTCATAGAGAGCTATGGGTGCTTTTTCTGAAGGTTAAGGAAACAAGGGAATAGAATTGTTTTAGCTCAGGGGGTTACAGAAGAGTTGAGTAGCATATTCTAAAGTCAAGCAAATATCCAGGTTTCCCCTGACAAGCATCTTCTTCCTTTGACCTCAAGAATTGAAATCTGATACTTTTTTTTAATATCTATACTTTCTTCATGAAATTTGAGGGAGATATACCTAAATTGCATACTCTGGATTATGTCCATTGATAGTAGGTAGCTATGGTAACACAGTCATGAACTTGGGAGATATAAAATCTATTGTGACACAGGCCTCCTTCGTTGATTAGTTGTGAAACTGATTTTTGGCAAACTTAAACCTCAGGCCCCATAATGAACAATGGGAATAACAATAAATACCTCATAAGGTGATATTATGAGGAGTCAGTAAGAGAATGGAAGGTCTGTGAGGGCTGGGATGGTGACTTTTATTCAGTGTTGTGCCCCCAGTGGCTGGAGCAGTGCCGCCTGGCACCTAGTAGGGGCTCAATAAATAAGTGTTGAATAAATGTCTGAATTAATGAACGATATATGAGTTGTATATGCATATGTTGGAAAATATAGGTGCTCAAAGCACTGAGTGGAATATTTTTTTTCTGTAAAGGCTTATTGATACTGAGAGAATGAGGCCAACTTAAGCCCATGTTATATATTTGAAAAATAATGTTCTAGCCCAGCCGGCGTGGCTCCGTGGTTGAGCATTGACCTATGATCCAGGAGATTATGGTTTGATTCCCAGTCAGGGCACATGCCGGGGTTTTGGGCTTGATCCCCAGCAGGGGGGCGTGCAGGAGGCAGCCAATCAATGACTCTCATCATTGATGTTTCTATCTCTCTCCTTTTTCCTTCCTCTCTCTGATATCAATAAAAATATATTAAAAAAGTAATGTTCTAAATGTGTAAAATTCCCCTAAGATGGGGATGCAACTATTCTGTGTAAAATAATGCTCATTTTCTCAGCTTGCTAAATATGTATGTAGTTATATCTGCTATGTTCATTTTATAGAAAAGCCCTGGCCGATTACCAGGGGAAGGTGCCATTATATTTTGTGATTCAAAAAGCTATATGCCTTGTGCTAATAATTACTCTTTAAAAAATAATTTTTAGCGAATGGATACATTTTGCTTTTATGATCAACGAGGCTCAACACATGCCTGGGAGTGAAAATGTATTAGATTGAAAGACAATTAATGATAACTTGGAGCAGTAATTTCAGAACCCCAGCAGGAGACCATTATCTACACTGCATTCTAGGGATGCGAGGGGAATGGAGTCTTTTATGCATTCTCTTCGTGGCCAGAGTACCCTTTGATATTATATATCTTAAAACAGAAACAAGATTTCCTCCCTCCCTCCCTCCCTTCCCTTGCTTCCTTCCCTCTTCCTCCCTCCATTTTTATCATTTCTATCATTTCATAAATAGTAACAATGTAACAATTGGCATGAGAAGCCAGCAGTCTTGTCCAGTGGGAAAACCACTGAACTGAGAGACAGAACACCTGGGATCTGATTTCAGCTTTGCCAACAACCTTCTTAGTAACATTAGATAAATCACTTTACCTGCCTGGGTCTCAGGTCCTAATCTGGCAAGTGAGGAGATGGGAGATGACTCCTAATGTTTGCCTTCCACCAATCCAATGCCTCTACATCCAAAATCAGTCCAAAATCCCGGTCAGCGTGCCCCCGGTGAACTCCTTTTCCTGATAAATTTGTGATCACTTCCTTCCTCTTCACATCTCCCTGTCCCCAGAAGAAGGCCCAGAAAGTGAAGTTGGAACAGAGTGAAGACAGTGGTCGTACCTGGAGGTGCCACCATCCGCTGCCACTTCTGAAACAGGCAGGTCTTCAGGCAGTCTCGGGGGCTGAGGTTGTACGTTTTATGTCTCGACATCAGTTCCTGCATTGGCTCCAGTATTACACACAACTGCAAGAAGTTCAAAGGCGCGGGCGTTTCACTACTTGATAATATTATTCGCAATAAACAATGGGAGCAGCTGGAATCAATTAGGAAGCTGAAGGGTACTTTTCTCTTACTCCCCCTGGTTTTGATTTTCTCGATACAAGTTTGGAGGGAAAGAAATATTACCAGCATTTGATAAAACCCACTTAATTTACTGTCATTTATAATATCACATTATAGCCGAATGCGATTTTCACACGCACGCACATGTGCTCGCACACGCACACACAGTCTGTCCAGACAGTTGGGTGGCCATGCAGCTCTATTCTGAAATGAAATGATTCTCTCTGGTTAAAGAAGAAAGCTCTCTGCCTGGGAGCACAGCATGCTCTGATTTCTACTCTGCTGTTGTTCCTGTTTGTAAAACCACCCACTGTGAGTTACAAAGCTGGTTTATGGAGATTATGTGGCAGTGAAAGCTGTCTTTGAAACTTGACAGAACAAAGTGGCAACTGCGGATACTTTTTGGATCCTAATTCTTACAAAGGCCCATGATGAACACGAATATTTTTATGTACTCGTTTGTGTTTTACACATGATGGTGATGCCAGTAATATACGCTGGCATTTGCTCGGCGTGGGAGCTTTTTCCGTGGTTCTGCATGCAGTCACCTTTGGATAGATTTTTCAGCTTTACTTTTAGTCCAGGATATCTGATGACAAAGATTAATGAGTGAAACAAGAAGGTAAATCCATTTCAGATGGCCTCGGACTTTCCGAATTCCTTCTCGGTTGGAAACTTATCAGAATGCCGCTGCACTGAGTGTCTAAGAGGACAAAGGCCATGGCTTGGGATGAGCATCCATGGCTGCCGCGATTAGAGGGACAGAAACAGTGGCACGCGCCCTCCGCGTGCAAGAACGTCGCGTTACGAAAGGCAGGCATGCAGTCGGCCCTTCCCGTCTGCCCTTCCTCACCCTGACCACTGCCCTAGAGGCCCCATTGCTTTTTGTCCGCTGGGTGCCCTCTACCTGGAATTCTCTGCCCCCCTCCCTGTTAATGGCCCCTTAGCCTTGCAGACAAAGTCACTTCTACGCCACCCTCCGCCCCGTGCAGGCTGAGCTCGGTGCCCCTCTTCGGTTCTCCCACGGCACCCAGCCCTTGCTGCTCTATGAACTTACTCATTAAGCTTTGTAACCATCTGCTTCCAAGTCTACCGACATTTCCCACTTGACCTTGAACTCCTTGAATGCCAACACTGTGCCTTTCATCCCTGTGTTCCTAGGTTCGGCTCAAATGAATGGGTGCATTTAAGGAGTGATTCTTAGAAAGACTGGAGGATCTTTCTTTGCCAGGGTTCCTCAACGTGTGCTCTTGGGAACATCTCCATAAAAACCCAATGAGCTGATTATTAAAAATGCAGATGTCCAGGCTCCGCCCTTTCTGTTTCACTGGGTCTGGAGGTGGGGCCCTGACCCACTTGCATTTAAAAAACACAGACACACACATACTTCCAGCTAATTCTGGCAAATGCTACTAGAGCTTGAGGTCCACTGTCCTACACTTGCTGGGCTTTATGACAGATGAACATAGACAGCAAGACATGCACAAATACCACGGTTTTCAGCTCAGATTTCACTCTCTTCTTACTCCCCACCCTTTCCATGCCTCTCCTTTCCTCTCAAGTCTACCCATGATCATCAAGATTTCCTTCATCTAGAAAAACCCCTCAGCCCTTTTTACTTGTGGATGATCTAAACTTTGCCAGACCACTCGCTCCATTTCAGCGCCAACTGTAATCTCCTTCCATGTGCAGCTTCTCTGGAAGACGAGAGCAAGATTCCCAAGCCCGACCAACACAAGCACAAAGTGAGGCAGAGACAAAGCCGCCAACAGCAACCTGTGAACCAGGCTGTGCGGCCACGAGCTCTGCATGAGCTAAGATACATCTTCAATCTTGTCTGTCTCCCCACTCCCCTTGGACTCCTTTTTGAAACCTACATTGTTAATAAGGAAAAGCCTGTGAAAGTGGGTGGATTACCGTGCAGTTAACTCTATAAAGACTGTGTGTGTTTATCTCTCTATTAAGAATCCCTTGCTGGAATCAAAGTATGTGCAAGGTACAGGCCAGCTGCCGTCTTCCCCAGCCACCGACACTGGGACCAAACGGAGTGAAGGATTCCACAGTCGCCTCTACAAATCGAGCTAAGAATGGATTATCCATCCAAGAAGAACCACCCCTAGACTCAGACAGCGTCAGACGATGTTTACATTTAAGCTGGGAGAATAAGCACAGCTTTCAGAGAAAGTCAAAGGACTAGGAAAACATACTTTTTGATGAAAAAAAGTTAAAAAGGCTTTCAAACCATTTCCTTTTGGTCTAGTCCCTGCTCTTGAGAAATGAGCTTATGATGGATGGAAAGCACCTGGGTGGAGTGGGATAAGCATGGACTTCGAAGCCCAGAGGCCTAGGTGTGGATTTTGACTGTCACTGGGTGTGTGTCTTTGGGTAAGCCACTTACTAGGGCTGGGTGTCAGTGTCACCTGCAAAACAGTACCTATCTCGATGTGGTTGTGAGAATTTGAGATAATATATCCAACAAACAGTGACATTATGATTATGCGTTTGCAAGCACAGCACTGATTGCAAAACAAACCTAGTTTTTATTACTTAGATCAAAAGCATTCATTGAACTTCCTCCTAAGCGTCCAGCACCCCCTGGGGGCTGGAGACCCAATGATGAGACTGACGCACAGTCTCTGTCTTCAGAAAGTGTCCAGGTCCCTTCCCAATGACGTGAGCACACTAAGCACCTGCCCTGTTTACACTTCACGAGCCTCAGGAAATCCCACCTGTGGACCTGGGAGCCTCAAGCACACTGGGAAACGGGAGAGTCGCATTTACTGTGAGAACCCAGGAGCTCACTCTTTCTTTTTCCCAGGGCCTTCCCTCTCTGGGTTTTGGGCAACACTTTTTTTCAGGTGCTAATCCCCAGGATTTATCCCAGCTCCTTTCATGTAACGATCTCTTCCCATGGCTGTAAGGCAGCCCAAAGGAATTCACATCTCTGAATACTAATCAGGACTCCCCAGCCCTTTCGGCCCGTGGAGGGCTCGGGCTGGGCGGGCAGCTCTCCCGCATTCACACTGCAGAGCCTTCGGCTTTCTGCTGCGGAGCCCGCGGCGTTGCTGGGCTGCGTGCTGTAGGTGGCAGAGCTCACTCAGACAAGAGCCTGCCTTCTCAGCAGCCAGCCAGGGCATCCTGGCAACAGCCAAGCCTGGGGCATTATATGAAATGAGATCAGGAATGGCTGGGGGAGTGGGTTCGAGCAGTCAGTCGCCAAGTCCTTCTGGAGCCAGGATTCCTGGTCTCCCTTCCGTCTCAGTCCCCCCTTGAGAACCTGGTAAAGGCTCTGCAGCATGTCTTTTCAATTTTGTGCAAAATATCTGGAGGTTTATAAACCCTCCTATACCTCCAGCCATTGACTCCTGGTAAAGAGTCCCTGGTTAGTGATAGGTATGGAACAGGCTACAATATACATGCCTTTCCCCCTAAAACACACACACACACACACACAGCACTCAAACACATATAAATGGAACTAAACATAAAAACACAGGGTTCTTTAATTTTGAAGAACAATTTTATCTGCAAAGTTGGGCCTGCTGCAAAGTTCCCAGTGGCCCAGTCCCTCTGCCTGAAAAGAAAGGCCACAGACCATGTCGAGCGTCTACAGCAGCCTCCGTGCACGGCTGTGGCTCAGTTCTGCCTCCCCCGTGGTGGGTGGTGGATAAGAGGAGGAATCCCAGGGCACTGGGAGCCGGCAAGCCCTGGAGTCTTTGATATGAAGCTCCTAAATGAATAGCCCCTGCCGGATCTAGTTAGGAAATGCCCCCAAAGCCATGGCCCATCTTGGCGAAGCTCCAACGGTGCCTTTTTGCAGACTTCGCGTATCTTAGGCTGACCTTGCTCCTCCTACGCTACTGATGTCTTTTTTTTCTGGGATTCTGGCCTCAGCACTGACTCTTTAGGTGTGAGACCAAAATCTGTAACCACAGCAGTGACTTGCTGAGTGACTGTGGATGGATGGACAGATAATAGATATATTGGCCAGATTAATAGTAAGGAGTCATTTGCTAATGGCAGACAAATTAGACATTGTCCTGTGGGCTTAGAAGTAATGAATTTGCCCATTTGATAAATAATTGATTGCCTCCTCTGTGCAGAATGCTTTGCACAAATGCACGTGTTTATACCCAATTACTCCATGTTCTGGGTAGGCAGGGGGAGCTTAGCTCAGCCCCAGGACGTCTGCCTTTTCATAGTAACAAAGGGCCTAGCAAATGGAGACAGGCAGCTTTGCTCTGCTTTGATTTTATCTGACAGTTCTCCTGGAGAGCTTGGACTCTCCTTAGCTGTACACACACACTATTCTTGCGCACCTCTGTCCCTGAACCTCAGGATAGGTGGCGCCTGTCACAGTTGGCTCTGGCCTAAAATGTGATGCCCAGAGCTTGGCATTTGACTAAATCCCAAACCTAGGTCTAGTCTACCATCAAGATTTTATTTCTATCTTTTCAGAGTGATGGATTACGTCCCCTGAACTTGAACTGCCTACTCTTTGTATACAGGCTTGTCCAGGATTACTGTCAGTGGCTGTTCTTGTTTTTTTTTTTAAATTTGATCTACAATTTCATTATTATTTTTTGGTTAATCCTCACTTGAGGATATTTTTCCCATTGATTTTTAGAGAGAGGGAAGGAAGTGGAGAGAGAGGGAAACATCGATGTGAGAGAGACACATTCATTGGTTGCCTCCCGCATGTGCCTTGGCCCGTCCAGGGATCTAATCTGCAACCCAGGTACATGCCCTTGGCTGGGAATCAAACCCACAACCCTTCGGTCCACAGGCCGATGCTCCAACCACTGAGCCAAACCAGCCAGGGCTGTTCTTCTTACCTAGAAGACTGTCTTTCCTCCTTCCCAGTCATCTTAATCAAGGGTTGGCAAGGAATGGCCTGTGAG